TGGAGCTCCCTTGAACGGCGAATAGATCCGGATCATGTAGGAAGAAGAGAAGTCTTTTACCCACGGCCAAGGAAACGAAGCAAATAGTGTTTGTAGTGTTCACAGTCCGCATCGTGCTCTCTTGCCGTGCGTATCTATTTGCTTTTTGCTGAAGGAAGTGTTACTACTACCTAAAGCTACAACAAATTTAAACAGCACTTTTCAGTGCTCAACCTGTAAAATTTCTACCTTGTTCAACTTTATTCCTCTATAGGAAAGTTTGAACATACTGAGAGGTAAGCACATATCATCGGTAAGAGACATGTGTGTGAGAAAATTTGCGAAAAAATCTAAGGGCACCGGTGGGATTATTCCTCTTCGATCCTTGTTTGGACCCTACCCGAGGTAATCCTTCTTGGATATCGATTTGGAAAGTTCCTCTTCGATCCTTCAGATTCTTATAGTAATCTGCTTGGAAGTCGATTTGGATAAAAATTTACTACCGCCATGGCGCCTAAACGCAAAAGAAAGGGGCAAACTCTTGACCCCCCTTCTGAAGAAATTAATTTGAGTAATCAATTTGATTTGCTCACGGATGATGAGAATGATCCATCATCCAAGAAAAATTCTAGTAAACTTTCCCGGCTTAATGCCAAGAAGGAAAAGATTCCCCCTATTGTGATAACCACTTCCGATTTCCATGCTCTTCGCATGGAACTTTTGAACTTCGTGAAAGTTGAGTTTTCTCTACAAATTGGACGTCGGGGTGAATGCCGTGTATTGGCTGAAACCTTGGACGGATTTAAATGTCTTCTCAAGTATCTTACTGAGAAGAAGCACAAATTTTTTACTTACGACACCAAAACTGAACGTGTGTTCAAGGTTGTCATGAAAGGACTGCCCAGTGGTGAATCCCTGGATCAGATCAAAGATGAACTGGCAAAATTACTTGGAGTTGTGCCACTCCAAGTAATCAAAATGAAAATGAAATCCCGTCCTGGCGATTCGCGCAACGGGATTTCTAATGATTTTTATTTAGTTCACTTCAAGTCTAGTGAACTAAACAACCTTAAGGCCTTAGAAAAAGCTAGCCTTATGCTCCATGTCCGAGTGAAGTGAGAACACTTCAGGAAGACTGGAGGAAATTTCCAAAACCTCACTCAGTGCCGTAAGTGCCAGGGATGGGGTCACGGAACTAAAAATTGCTACATGCCAGCTAAATGCATGAATTGTGGTGATTCCTCTCACGCAAAAGACGACTGTCCTGTGAAGGAAGATCCTAAGAAATTTAAATGTTCAAATTGTGGTGAAAACCACAAATCCAATTTTTGGGAATGTAAGACTCGCAAAGCGATCCTACAATCTCGTTCTAACCGACAGGTAAGAAACGCTCCACGTTTCCGAACAGGTACAAATTCCTCTGCTGTTAACAACGGTCAGCGAGGAACAAATTCTACATTCGTACCAGTAGGTACAAATATCACCTTGCTTCAAATTTTTCATCTGTACCTACTCCCCTCGCTGCTAACAATGTTCAGCGAGTTAATGGAGCTACCTATGCTGCTATTGCAACGGGTAGAAATCAAAATACTAACCAAAGTAATTCTAACGGAAATTTTGACAATTTTGACTTAGGAAGCATTACTGCCCCTAAAATGGAATTTTTACAGAAATCATTAATTGACATGATTTCTGATATGCTTAAATCTAACTCCATGTTTGATGCTATTCAAACTGGAGTAAAATTTGCAAATAGTATTGTCATGACTTTAAAATTCAGTAATGGATTTTAAAGCATTAAATATTGTAAATTAGAATGCTCGATCTCTTAAAGATAATGAAGACGAGCTATTTAACTTTTTGAGAGTTCATAACGTGCATATTGCCGTTATAACTGAAACGTTCCTTAAACCTGACCATAAGGTTAAGAAGGACGCAAATTACTTGATTTATAGAAATGATCGTCTTGATGGACCCTGTGGTGGCGTTGCCATCATTATTCATAAATGAATCAAACATAAAATTCTTTCTTCATTTGAAACCAAAGTTTTTGAAACTTTGGGAGTTTCTGTTGAAACAAAATTTGGACAACTTACGTTTATAGCTGCCTATTTGCCATTCCAATGCGTAGGCCAGCAAAAGAATTTTCTCAAGGGTGACCTCCAGAAACTTACCCGTCATAGGTCTAAATTCTTTATTATTGGTGATTTTAACGCAAAACACCGCTCATGGAATAATGCTCAAAGCAATCCCACTGGTAATATTCTGTTTGATGATTGTTCTGCAGGTTATTACACTATTCAATATCCAAACAGCCCAACATGCTTTTCTTCTGCAAGAAATCCCTCCACTATTGATTTGGTCTTAACTGATTCATGTCAACTTTGTAGCCAACTGGTTACCCATGCTGACTTCGGTTCTGATCACCTTCCAGTAACTTTTGAAATATCCCAAGAAATAATTTGTAATCCCAACAGCTCTACTTTCAATTACCATAGAGCTGATTGGGAGCAGTATCGAACATTTATGGAATTTAACTTCGATCCAAACATTCCTTTGCAAACTAAAGATGAAATTAATTATGCTTTTGAATTTCTGCCTACTTCTATAGTTGAAGCAAGAGCTGCCTCAGTACCAAAATGCGAGGTTAAATTAGATTCAATTATAATAGACGATGATCTTCAGCTCTTGATCCGTCTTAAAAATGTCCGTAGGAGACAATTTCAAAGAACACGCGATCCTGCCATGAAGGTTATCTGGCGGGATTTGCAAAAACAAATTAAAAAGCGATTCTCTGCCCTGAGGAACAAAACTTTTGAAAATAATGTTTCTAAATTAGACCCGAGTTCCAAACCCTTTTGGAAACTCACAAAAATTTTGAAAAAACCTCAAAGCCAATTCCAGGGCTTAAAGAAGGTGGTAAAATTTTGATCACAAATTTGGAAAAATCTCAGAAACTTGCTAAGCAATTCGAGAGTTCCCATAATTTCAGTTTGGGTCTTACTAGTCCTATTGAGAATCAGGTTGCTCGGGATTTTCTGAATATTTTCTCTCGGGAAAATATTTTTGATGATTCCTGGGGAACTGATTTGTACGAAGTAAGGTCTATAACTAATAAGTTTCAAAATATGAAAGCTCCAGGTGATGATGGAATTTTCTATATCCTCATCAAAAAACTCCCAGAGAGTACCTTGTCTTTCTTGGTAAAATTATTTAACAGATGTTTCCATTTGGCATACTTTCCTGATAAATGGAAAAATGCAAAAGTTGTTCCAATTTTGAAGCCGGATAAAAATCCAGCTGAAGCTTCTAGCTACCGCCCAATAAGTTTGCTTTCTTCAATAAGTAAACTTTTTGAAAAGATAATTTTGAATAGAATGATGCTTCACATCAATACGAACTCAATTTTTGCAGATGAGCAGTTTGGATTTCGCCATTGGCATTCAACTACTCATCAACTCTTAAGAGTTAACAATTTAATTCGTTCAAACAAATCTGAAGGCCACTCAACTGGAGTTGCTCTTCTAGACATAGCAAAAGCATTCGACAGTGTTTGGCATGAAGGTTTGATTGCTAAATTAAAAAAGTTTAATTTTCCACTTTATATTATGAAATTAGTTCAAAATTATTTAACTGACAGAACTCTGCAGGTAAATTATCAAAATTCCAAATCTAATCGACTACCTGTTAGAGCAGGAGTTCCTCAGGGTAGCATTCTTGGGCCTATATTGTATAACATTTTCACTTCGGACCTCCCTGATTTGCCTCAGGGTTGCCACAAATCTTTATTCGCTGATGACACAGGCATTTCCGCTAAAGAAAGAAGTCTTCGTGTTATTTGCAGCAGACTTCAGAAAAGTTTAGATATTTTCTCTTCTTATTTACAAAAATGGAAGATTTCTCCCAACGCTTCCAAAACTCAACTTATAATATTTCCACATAAGCCTAGAGCTTCCTTTTTGAAACCTAGTAGTAGTCACATAGTCACTATGAACGGAGTTCCTATTTCCTGGTAAAACCAAGTGAAATATCTTGGATTAATACTTGACCAAAAATTAACTTTTAAAGATCACATTGAGTCTTGTTGTTGCACTACCAGGAAAAAAGCACTTCAAAGGATTCAGAACAAAGTTCTGAAAATGATTTTGAAGTTGCCTTCCTGGTACAGTACTACCGAAGTACATAGAATTTCGAATGTTGAGACTTTAGAACAAATGTCCAACAAAGTAATTAATAATTTCGGGCAAAAATCGTTGCAATCCTCCCAGATCCCAGATAAGATTTAGTTTTAGTTTTTAGTTTTAAGATATCAATTGTTATACTGACATGCAGGTTTAAAAAAACCTGTTTAAAATACTGAATTGCCAAGACAGGAACAATGTAAAAACACTTAGCTATATATCATAACAATTAAGGCTGGTAAGTTACTGCAGTAACTGGAGCACCTAGGTTAAAATGAAATGTAATTTATTTTGAATTTGGAACAAATAAAGAGTTAAAAAAAATATGAATAACTGTTAAATGCATTTTAAAATGATATTTTAATGTGGGCTTGTTTTAAAGCAAAAAGTGTATGATTTCAGCATTTTTTTAACTTTCAAGTTGAATATCTCTGAATCTTAAAATCGTAGACACCTAAAATTTCGGGAGCTTCTTAGTCAAAGTGGTTACTATTGATGGAGTATTCCAGAATCTGAGTAAGAAAAAGTAAATTTTCTTATTTTTGTCTGCCTGATTTCCTATAGTGCGGTTATGGTATTGAAGTTGAATGAAATAAATATGCCAAAAGCTTACTAATAGGTTATATTTTACTGTCTGAAAGTTTGAAAAGGATCGGTCAACTAGGTTATTTTCTACAGCGTTTTTTTTTCCGTGATGCAATTTGATGTGGGACACCCTTTAACTGTTCATTCTGTACAAAAATGGCTCAGTCTTCTTATCCACTTTTTCGTTATAATTAAAACAGCCATTGTTCGACAATTTCCATTTCCGCATACAGACACACACACAAACACACTCACCTGGACGTGGAAAGCAGATTCATCGCCATCATCGCGGTACCGAAAACACCGATAGCCACCGTCTTGCTGGACGTGGCTGCCGGACGGGACAGAAGTCGTAACAGGAACATTTTGGATCCTCAGCGCTCAAACGTGTGATAATTTTTCGTTCTTTTCCGGAAGCTGAAAAAAATGAAGATGGAATGAAATCTCAACTAATTAGAATTGGCAGTTCTTAACGATTTTTTTTTCTCTTATTGGTGGAGGGTACTAAGTGCTCTGGAATATAAGTCTGTGTATGGTATATGAGGTAGGGGGGTGGGGAGTGGTTGAGGGGAGTAATTAAATGGCGTTGATGGTAATTGCATCTTCTTCTTTTGGCTTTATTACGTCTCTACTGGGACTTTACGTCGGCCCTCAACTTAGATGTTAATCATTTTTGCATTAGCATAATTGTGTGGTAAGCACAATAAATTTCGACCCGAAAAATTCCTAGACCGAACCGGGTAATCGAACCCAGCTGCGCCTTTATCGACTGAGCTAAGGAAGTTCCCAATGGTAATTGCTGCATGTTCCGAAGTTGAACCAAGCAGGAGGAGGGAAGTGAGTGATGAGTTTTGGTGTTGAGCTGGATCGGGTGTTGGGAGCTAAGTCGTGCATTGCAGATTTTGCCAATTTGGAGCAGAACCAGGCGGCAAATGGAAGTGGAGGAGATTCATCATCTTGATTTGTCGGCGAGGACTGAGAAAGGATAATGAGCTGAGATTAGCATTTATTTTCGGGAACTGACAACGACGGCACGTCTGGCTTTCTTGCAGGAAAACGCAAATGATAAGATTTGTTGATTTGGTTGGCGGAGAGGCAGAGATTCGGATTGCTTGGTTTATTTCTCCCGAGGATAAGGTTAATTGGTTGTGGCCAGATTTGAATTTATTTCGTTTCATATTCGTGAAAGTGCGTCATATTTTGCATGAGTTAAACCTACCATGACTCAGATGGAGACGCATGGTGCCCCACCCAACTTTCGAAACCTCACGAGACGCGGGAACACAAAGCAATAAATCTCCTAACTCCCATATTCCCTTTGGTAATCATTTTGAAACCGTCGAAATTTTCCAAGAAACAAAAGCAAAAATGATGTACTGTAACAAACAATTTATCCTACCCGGGGCTTCAAATACCCACGCGCCGAGTTTGCATAGCGCCAATCCAAAAATAAATAAATAATAAAAAATAATCGCTCAATTCCGCGCTCAGAAAATGAAAAGTAATCAAAATTCTCCGCGCTTTATAATGGTTTTTGCTGGGTAAGAAAAAAGAAAACACTCAACAAGAATGCAGATCAGGAACGGTCCACGGACTGCTGGTAAATGTAAGTAGGTAGGTAGCAAAAATTGCTCGAATCAGTGGAAAATTGCGAAACAATTCACTCCCGCTGCGAGGCATCCGCTGGCTGTTGGGACGGGAAAATGCATCAAAGTGGTTCTGATAGAGAAATAATGCTAATAATAATAAAAGGCAGAGATGTAGCAGAAGAATGGCAGAAAATCTACTCGCAATGGATTATTGCAGTTCAGTGGATGGCGGGGAGTGAAAAACAAAATGGGATGAACAATAAAATTCTGCTACTACTTGCCTCGGATTTCAGTGACTACCCCCGGAGCTGTCAATTGGGGCAGGGAAAACGGAAGCGATGCAGTGAATGAATTTCCAACTGGAGAAAGTAGGAGCAATGGGAGCGTAAAATATGTTTAAAGCTGTAGTTCTTCCTTGATTGTTAGCGTTAGCGTTGTTATGATATACTTCGTAGATTGGATACTAGTGACACTCACGTCTCTTCTGAAATTCTCAGTTAGACTACTTTCAGGAATAATGCTGGGGTGTAAACATTGGTTCCAATCTAAACAAGAGTAACAGAAGCATGACTGTCGCTATTTCCGGCCACGCCCATCTTTACCATAACTAGGGATAGGGAAGGAAATGTTGATGTAGTAAGTACTTACTTAACGATAGGCAACCGACTTAGCGACACCCATATAAGTGCTACGGAGATGCACGGAAACAAATCCGTTACCATTTTCATGAATAAAAAATCATGAAACAAGAAAAAAAATCATCCCATGAAATCATGACAATAATTCATGATTTCATTATGGATACGACGAATATCATGAACAATAACAAGTGCTTCCATGAACCAAATTCATGGCCGTTAGCAAGCGTTACGCTTTGTTACGTGCCTGTCAAGCCGTCTTCATAAAATTTCAACGTCCATTGCGGTCGGAGGTAAAATAGTGGCAGAGAAAATTTTGCACAGGTAATTTATCAATGCACAATTGTCGTCATATAATACTGCCAGTGTTGGAAAAGTTCACCAAAACTCACTATGACTCGCGAACTTTTCCATTGGTGAACTTCGTGAAATATCGCGATTTTTTTCCAACGCTGAATACTGCAGTGTTATAATTTGAAAAATAGTGAATATGCATTTATTCAAATTTTATGCAAATCTCTACCAGAAGCTCAATAACAAGTGCACCAAGAAGAAGCAGAATCAGAAAATTTACTTGTGATATGGAATTAGCGATGCTACCTGTTTTCTACTGTGACTTATAACGAATATACGTTATATACGAGTACCCCGAATACAACGTATAGTTCGTCTAATTTTACATTGCAAATGCTAGCAAAACTAGACGACTCATACGTTGTATTCGGGGTACTCGTATACAATGTATAAGAAGTCAGGTAACACAGTAGTGCTTTTTTGTGTGGAAATTTGTTCATTTCAGTATCTAATATATTGTCATTCAATATGCCCATACTTAATCAAGTAAACCGATCATTAATAAATATCTTAAACAATAATTAATTACCTTATAAAAAATAATGCGCTACAGCCTAGTAAATGAAGTTAGCATTGAAAATTAAATTTCAGAATAATGGACTTCGATCAGGTGCAGTACATAACTCTCGACGAGCCATTAGTGCCATCTGTGGCAGCGCAAATTGCCGAAGAGCAAAAGGTGTGGACTATACACTCGATACGCTGATGATCCTGAATTTCCAGAATTGGAATTTGAAGCGGTTCTATTTCGGACTGGTCTGGACAATTACACCAGCTTCCTAATCAACAACCATGGAAAAACAAGTTCAAGGGAGTTCAGCGAGCTACAGGAAAGTGACATAAAACTGTTCTGTCGAATAGCTCGTGATCGCGTCATGTTCCGGAAACTTCTGGCGAATCTGGTAAGACTTTTTATACTTTATATCAAAATAGGTTAAATACCAATATAATATAGAATCTTCCCATTTTTTTCGCAATACGGTTTAATCAGCCTCAAATTTGCAATTATGCAATTTGATTTGTTTTTTCATGAAGTGCTAGTTTCATGAAATACTTAATTCACAAATGCATAATAACTAGTCTAGTGATTCTGTGTAGCAATGGTGCTACAATGCGACAGAAAGAATTAAATGCTGCCGCTCTTTAACGTAAATCACTCGATTTTCGGGTTTTACGAATATTCGATCAATCGATTTTACATACTCAATATGACTATCTCCTGGATACCAAAAGATATCATTAAATATACATAGATTTATCATTTTGGTACATTTACGTGGGAGGAAATATATTAGCATTCTGATAAAGTTACACTCTATGAAATAAGTGTGGTTATATTCTACTTAATTTGAATATCGAAAATTCCATTCAATCTGTAGTCGAAAGGCCAAGCCACTTCTTGCTTCAGCCGCTCTCGTGCCGTACTTCCATCGGTTCCTCGACAAAATCCAACAGCTCCAGTGCCTTGCGAAATCAGATCTGGGATATTTTGTTGAAGCCATCGCCAATGTACAGCCTCGTATACAGTTGCAATGTACCTTGTCCTAGCTCTCCGCTAGCTGGATCCACGCCAGCGAGGGATGGCCGGAGAGGAAGCGTGCTGGATCGGATAGGTTCCCCCTGAAGCGGTGGAAGATGTTATGCTGCTGGCATGTACCACTTGCTGGAAACCTGAAAAAGTAGAGCTCCTTGCAGCGTTTTATGCAGTCGTCTAACCACACCTAATTGTTGGTCTTATCCCAGATCACAACCAGGATTTGGAAATGCAGATACTTTTCCGCCAACTTCTTTGCCAGCTCGAACTCTTCGGCATCCACTGAAAAGGTAAGGCATTTAGAATAAATTGTTTGAAAAAACGTGTTAAACCCATAAAGAAGAATCAATCGCACTTTTGCGACTCGTACTGCTGCATCAGAACTTAGATGGATGGCCTATCAAACTGTGTCTCCGTAGCTGGAGCTTATCTCACAAACTGGAAGCATGAAGGAATTCCAAGAATGCAAGCGCGATGTTCTTTTCATGAAGCTGCGGCACAATTTACAGGTGGATGATTTGAGGGCGTGCTTTTGTGTAACATCTCAGCGCGGATCCGGTGAAGGCATGTGCTGGGATATTTTCAATACGATCTGATCTACTTCACTTGTTTCATCAACGCTCTGTAGAATTTCATTAATGCGAACTTCTATGCCGTCGAAGATTGTGGACTATGGTTTCACTTGTCGGAATACAATCGTTTGCCACCCGCCTCGCAACTGATTCTGTAGCTGCATCAAATTACAGGTAATGGACGAGCTGTCGTGCGCTATCGATGAACAGTGGCGAACATCTCCGGGTGGGGACACCGCCAGGCTGGAATCCATATGATCACCTTTGGCAATCGGCAACAAACACCGTGTAAAGACATCGTCGAGAAAGATAATGCAAATAATAATAACACCGGGAAAGCAGAAAACTCCAGAAACAAAATCAACTTCTCGTTACACAGATAAATTAATATAATAAAAATAATTAATATAATATAAGCAAAATTATAAATAAATTTATAATTTTGCTTAAATTTAATCAATTTGACATTATACTTAGTTTAATTGAAGAATTAAAGTGACGATTGACTCACAGATGACGAGTGGATGAAAATCTCGGTGAAAATGGTAATGACATTATAGATACTACCATAATCATGATTCAAGTTTTCAAATCCATGAATATAGTTTTCGGTTTCGAAACTGATGATTTATGATTTCGGGAATCTAGTTAAAAAACGCATGATATCATAAAGAACTCGTACCATTATCATGAATAAATTTTTCGAATCCATGAATATAGTTCATGGTTT